AAGTGACCCAGGGGCCACTGTGAGTCAGAGGCTGGGCAGAGGTGGAGCTTGGGGAGAAAGAGCCACCCGTGCAGGTGCTTCCTCCTCGCTCCATGACCTGGGGGGCCTCTGCCGGGCCTCGGGATGGCGCAGACACACCGAGGCTGGCACTGTTGCACCCAGGGGGTTCCTCGGCCCCTCCCTACCCAGCATACAGCCCCCCACAGCCCCACTCCCCTGCACTTGGGGTCCCCTTTAGTCTGCCCTTGGGCTCTGTGCAGGATCATGTGGCACTGGGGGGGCATCGCTGAGGGCACAGGGATGGTGAGGTGCGAGAGGCTGGCAGAGTATCCGAGATGCCTCTTAGGGAGGGGACATGTCTGAACCCCAAGATCAGTGGTCGGGTGGGAGGGCAGGGGAGCCCCTCCCGCATCACAGAACCTCGGGCAGGCCCTGGGCCACAGCATGCCGGGAGGGGCCCCACTGCTTTGGGACTGGGGGTGCCCCATGTGCGGGGTGGGGTCCCGAGCACCCAAGCGCTCAGACGGCACCCGCCCGCCCAGAGGCCACCTAGAGTTCCCGCAAGAGCAGCGGCCCTCAGGGAGGCCAGCAGGGACAGGCAAGCGACTCCGGGTCTGTCCCCTCTGCTCGTCCAGGACCCGGCACCCGGGGCAGCAGTGGTGGGGGGAGGGCCCTGCGGTGAGCCCACCTTCTCCTGGCAGGTGGCCATGAACATCCTCAACAGCGGGCGCTTCAGCATGGGCACCTCCGCGGCCGGCATGCTCAAGAAGCTGATCGGTAGGTAAGTGGGGGCAGAAGCCCTGCCCCGGCTGCCAGTCCAGCCCCATGTCCAGCTGGGCTGCCCCAACAAGGGGGCGTCCAGGCCTGGACTTCAGCCTCTGGCACTGGGGGATGCCGGGTGTGTGACTCGGCCAAGGCGTACGCTGGGCCTAAAAGCGGCCCTGGGGATTTCATAGTGCCGGGGTCCCTCGGGCTGTGGGGAACTTGGCTCTCGTGTCAGACTGACCCCAGGGGCCATGAAGGTCCAGTGTGTGCCGCCGTGTCCCTGCTCAACTCTGGGCCGGTCACTGGGACCAGCATTGAAAGCCGAGTGAGGCGGGGGCCTGAGGCGGGCCGGGGTCTCCCTGTGGCCACACAGCGCCCAGAACTGGGCCCTCCAGGTTGCCGGGTTTCAACTGGCCCCCCGGGCACTGGGCCTTGGAATGGGCCCCCAGTCTCTGAGGTTGAACAGCTGTGCCCGCTTCGTGCTGGGGTTCCCACACCCCCTTCTGCATTGTCTCCAGCCATTCTGGGGGCTGGCAGGTATTAGGGGGGGTCCCCACACTGCTGGTGGCATCGCCAGGTCCCCTGCAGACGCCCGCCGGTCTTGGTGCTCCTGCCTGCCTGTGTGGACTCAGGGAGCCTTGGGCTCCGCTCCATGTGGGAGGTGGGGGACACTGTCATCCCAGCGCATCTCACTGCTTGCCCTCCGCAGCGATGACGGCTGAGTATGCCTGCACCCGGAAGCAGTTCAACAAGCCCCTCAGTGAATTCGGCTTGATTCAGGTACTGAGTCTCGCCTGCCTTGCCAGGAGCCACCAGGCGCTTGGGGCTGTCGGCCGGTCAGGTGTCTCTGACGGGCCCTCATCCTGCTACACTTGGCTGGCACCCGCAGATGGCCAGATCCCCATGTGTGTGGACTGTGTGTAGACTGTGTGTGTGTGTGTGTGTGTGTGTGTGTTGACTGGCGGTGCCACTGTGTGTGTGTGTGTGTGTTGACTATGAGTCTGTGTGTGTGCGCGCGCGCATGCGTGCAGACTGTTAACTGACTGGCCTTTCTGCCCTCCAGGAGAAGTTCGCCCTGATGGCACAGAAGGCGTACGTCATGGAGAGCATGGCCTACCTCACGGCAGGGATGCTGGACCAGCCGGGCTTCCCCGACTGCTCTGTGGAGGCCGCCATGGTGAAGGTGACACAGCTCAGCCGCTGCAGGGTGCAAGGGGGCGCGGGCCTGCTCTCCAGAGTCAGGTCTACTGCGTGGGGGCCACTGCTGACCCCTGCTCCCCGCGGTGGGGGGAGGAAACTGCCTGTGCTGACCTCCTGGCACAGATGGCAGCTGGGCTCCCATGAGAAGGAACGGGAAGCGTCTCCGTCATCCGCTCCCGTCAGCCCTGCCTGTCCCCGTCCCTCCCATTGGAGTCTGGGTGGGTGTCGGGCGCAGGTGGCGTCTCAGCTGGGCCGGGCAGGGTCTGAGCCGACGTCGGTGACTGGCACAGGTGTTCAGCTCGGAGGGTGCCTGGCAGTGCGTGAGCGAGGCGCTGCAGATCCTCGGGGGCTCGGGCTACATGCAGGACTACCCCTACGAGCGCATGCTGCGCGACACCCGCATCCTGCTCATCTTTGAGGTGACACCCGTGGGGGCGGAGGGGTGGGGGCAGGCTGAGGGTTCTCCAGATCGTGGCACGTTGGGGGTGGGGACCCCCATGCCAGCCCCTTTGGGGCGGGTGGGCTGCTGGGAGAATCCAGGATAGGGTGAATGAGGGGCGCAGTGCCTTGCTGGGGGCCCAGGGCAGCACCCTGTGGCAGACACTCGGGGGCACCGTGTGGGCCCCGGCAGACCTGGCAGTGGTGCCTGGCGTAGAGGGGCCTGGCCTCTGGGGGCCTGGGACTGAGCCCCGTGTGTCCCCCGTTTGGAGGGCTGAGGGGGCGGCGCCCTGCTCCCTCCCATCCCGGGGTCCACTGCCTGCCTCTGCTGGGTCCAGGACTTCCCAGATAGGCGACCCTTTCCCTCCTGGGCTCCCTGCCCCAGAAGACAGTGGTGCGCTATGACCTTTGACCCCAGCTGTGTTGGCCACAGGGAACCAATGAGATTCTCCGGATGTACATCGCGCTCACGGGCCTGCAGCACGCAGGCCGCATCCTGACTGCCCGGGTTAAGTAAGTCCAATCCCCAGGACCCGAGCTGGGCTGCCCCCTGGGCGACAGAAACCCCCACATGGCGGGCCGCTGCCCATCCAGAGCTGGGGGAGGGCGCGGGTCCAGCTGAGACCCCCTGGAGGCCACGTGGGTCCTGAGTTGACCCTTGGTGCTTTGGGGTCGGGCTGGGGCCTGGAGGGCCGTCTCAGCGCGGGCCTCTCCACAGGGAGCTCAAACGGGGCAACCCGACCACCGTGCTGGAGACCGTTGGCCGGAGGCTCTGGGACTCCCTGGGCCGCAAAGTGGACCTGGGACTGACGGGGAAGCTTGGACTGGTGCACCCCAGTTTGGCGGTAGGCGGCTTGGTGCCCCTCTGCTCTCTCCCAGGGTCCCAGAGGGGCTGGGGGGGCTGGGGAGTGAAGAGCCTTGTCTTCACTCCAGGACAGCGCCAACAAGCTGGAGGAGAACGTGTACTACTTCGGCCGCACGGTGGAGACACTGCTGCTCCGCTTTGGCAAGGTACCGGCTCTGTGCCCGTCGGGGTACTGGCTCCTGGCTGGATGGCCAGGGTGGGGCTGCTCCTCGGACTGCCAAGTGTCCGCCTTCGGGAGCCGGGCCCGGAAGGAAAGGGGGGCAGTGCAGGATGAGCAGGCTTCTGGGTGAGACCTTCCAAAAGGCTCCTGGGCCTGAACCCGGACCCCAACCTGGACTGGCAGCTACAGGCACCGCAAGGCGAGGCCTCTGGGCCCCGCGCTTCTGGCCTGGGCTCTGTCCGCGAGCCGGCCATCCCCATGCTGGTCCCCTTTGCAGACCATTGTGGAGGAGCAGATGGTCCTGAAGCGGGTGGCCAACATCCTCATCAACCTGTACGGCATGACGGCCGTGCTGTCACGGGCAAGCCGCTCCATCCGCTCGGGGCTGCGCAACCACGACCATGAGGTGAGTTGCCCTACGCACGCGCACGCGCACACACACAAGCATAAGCACATGCAGTGCAGGGACCGGGCTCTTTTTTTTTCCTTTTGGGTCACACTCGGCAATGCACAGGGGTTACTCCTGGTTCATCACTCCTGGCGGTGCTCAGGGGACCCTATGGGATGCTGGGAATCGAACCCGGGTCTGCCGCATGCAAGGCAAACGCCCTGCCCGCTGTGCTGTTGCTCCAGGGGACCAGGCCCTTTAATGGAGCCAGGCCACAAGCGGCTGTGGGGTCTGGGATCACCGCGTCGGGGGATGCTGTCGGCTCCGTGGGCTCAGTTGCTCCCTTTCAGCTTCCTGCCTGGAGAAAGGAGGGCGCGGGGGTCGGGCCCTCACTCAGGGACACCCCAGCAAGAGTGTCGCTGACTGGGGCGGCGCCCTGGGTCCGGTGGCCATTCCAACTGACCTCGCCTCCGGTAGGTCCTGCTGGCCAACACCTTCTGCACAGAAGCTTACTACCAGAACCTCTTCACCCTGTCCCAGCTGGACAAGTGTAAGCGGGGGCGCAGGGCAGGACGGGGGGTTTCCCATGCCAGGGACGGCTGGTGTGGCCACCATGTTCCCCCGGCCCACGAGCAGGCGAGGGTGTGGTCAGCCCCGGCCCCGGATGCTCGCTCCACAGTGCCCACCACTGCTCCCGCTGGCCCTCTGGGGCGGCTCATGCTGTACGGGAGGAAGATGCCCCCCCCCCGCCCCTGTCCTTCCATCACCCAAGCTTGCAGGCCAGTGGCCGTCCACCATCGTCCATGAGTGTCCGACATCGGACCATGAGTCTGCCTGGTTCAGGCTGGTCTGGGGCTCGCGTGGCCCTAGCACTGGGACCTTCCCCACCCCAGACTCAGCAGGTGCCCTGGAGACGCTGGTGCTGTGGGCACCGCCTCCTGAGGACCCCCACACTTCCGGCTGACGGCCCACCCTTCTGCCCACCCAGATTCTCCTGAGAACCTCGACGAGCAGATCAAGAGAGTGTCCCAGCAGGTGCTGGAGAAGCGCGCCTACGTCTGTGCCCACCCACTGGACAGGGCGTCCTGAGCAGCCGCGGGCCTGGCCACTGCTCCCTGGCACAGCCTGGCCCTGGGCCCTCGCTGCCCACCTGTGGCCAGGAGCAACCCTCCCGCTGGTCGTGCTTAGGCGGGCCGTGATGGGGGGCCCATGAGTGCCCCCTGGGCAAGGTGGTGGCCTTCAGGGCACAGGCGGCCCTTGCAGCTGCCCTCTGTGTCCCCTGGGCCTGTCCGTTCTGCTGCTTCCCAGGGCCTGACTGGGCCCCCCAGCTGGTGTGTCACCGTGTGCTGGGGACGGGGTGTTGGTGACTGGTCTGCGGAGTTGTTGGGCGTGGCATCGACCACTGCTGTCCTGCAGGCCTGGAGACTCAGGAAAGGGGACGCACTGCCCCCACCTCTCTGTTCGCTTGGGTCACGGGTCCCGTCTCTCACGCTGCTTCTGGCATCTCGTGGATATGTCGTGGGGGGGGGGGGGAGCCTGGCGAGGTGTCGCTAATAAACTCCCGAAACCCAGGGTCCGGAAGGACAGGTGTGTGTTCATCCCCAGCGGGGCGGAGGGTCATGGCAGGCGCCCAGCCTGTCTCCCACTGAGACCCCCTCTTGAGGCGGGAGGCCCCACAGCGACTGCCTTGCTGCCCAGAAAGTTCTAGAACCCATGCCAAACAGCTCCTTTGAGGAGGCCGAGGGGCTCACCTGGCAGGGGCTTGCGCCGTGGCACCGGGGGCAACTGGAAGAAAGGAGGGGGCTTCTTGTACAGCTCGAAGTCCTGGCGGCGCTGGTCCCAGGGCCACCTGTCACGGTCCAGCACGTTCTCCAGCACGTTCCGGAACAGTGCCCCTTCCTGCCACTCCTGTCCGGGGGGGGGGCACAAAGTCAGACCCCCCCCCCCCAAGAAACAACACATCCCCAGCCCCCCAGCCCCGGCCCGACCTCAGTGAATGCGGTGCCCAGCTGCAGCGGGAAGAGGTAGTTGGTCTTCTGCAGGCCCGTCACTTGGAAGCCCTTGGCCGTGAGCCAGGGCCCCCGGGACTCCCGCCCGGCCGTCCTCTCCTCAGGGTCGCAGCAGTCCACCATGGCCGAGAGGTACTTCTGGGAGTAGGTGAATCTCTTCCGGGGCACCTGGAGAGGGGTCAGGTGGGCATGGAGGGGCCCCAGCACCCCCGTGGGCAACTGGACGCATACATCACGGGGCCCCTGGAAGAAACCCCCGCTGAGGGACAGAACCAGGGGCTGTGGGTGGCCGGGAGCCCCCGGGTGAGGGTGAGCTGGGGGGCTGGGACTCACATGGCCCCAGCCCTGCCCCCCCACCCCTCCCCCCCCAGAAGGCCTCGGCCTCACCCTGGCCATCTCTTGCTGCAGCTCCTTCCTGGCCAGCACCGCGGGGTTGAGGGCCTGAGAGCTGTAGTTGAAGACGGTGTCGGCCGGGGCGGAGATGCGCAGCACCTTCCCCACGGGCCGCACGGGCCTCCTGCCGGCCTGGTAGGCGTTCAGGATGTTCCTCTGGAGAAACATCGGGCAGGGCCGTTCAGCGGCCACGGGCCTCGACCTGTCACCTCGGGAAGGGGTATCACCCTCCCTGCAGCCCCGGGGAGCTGACTCTGAGTCCAAGGGGCTGCAGAGAAAGGTGGGGGCCCAGGAGAGGGGTGTCCACCCCAGCTCCAGGAGCAGGGCAGTTAGCTTGTTGAGACTCAAACCAGCTGAGTGCTGTCCTGGGCCACGCCCCGTCTGCCAGGCCAGCGGTCTCACGAACCCTCTGTGACAGCCACGCTGTGGCACAGCACAGATGGCGCTCGCCAACCTGGGTCCGATCCCAGCATCTCATCTGGTCCCCTGGACACCAGGAGTGATCCCTGGGCATGGCCAGGTGTCCCCACTTCCCCCCTCCCCCGGTAGGGCGTTTGCCTTGCACGTGGCCAGCCCAGCCGAGCCGGGTTCAATTCCTCCGCCCCTCTTGGAAAACCCAGCAAGCTGTCGAGAGTATCTCACCTGCACGGCAAAGCCTGGCAAGCTACCTGTGACTATTCAATATGCCAAACACAGTAACAACAAGTCTCAAAATATATATATATATTTATATAAAAAACCATGGGAGGCTGGTGGGCACAAGTCAGAACACCCTGGAGCCCAGAAGTAAGCTCTCGCATCAACTTGCAGTTGGTTTTTTTAAATAAGGACCAATCCAGGGAGTTGGGCGAGGTGGGGACACACTGGGTCCTGCCCAGCCCTGCCTGCGCCAGTGGTTGGACTCCCCAGCATCACATCTGGTCCCTTGAGCAGAGCCATCCACAGCCCCTGAACACCACCAGCTGTCGTCCCCCCGCCCCCCCCCCCCAGGAAACAACTGGGGAGACGTGCAGCCTCCAGAGCCGGGCTTCAGGTGCAGGAACAGGTCATAACCAGAACCATGTGGTGCCCTAAGCACTGTTGGGGCCCGGAGGCAGGAAGGAAGCCCAGGAGGGGAGGCATCTGCCGTGCCCCTGGGTCTCAGCCCCTCACTGCCAAGGAAATATCCAATAAAGACAAAACCCGCCTCAAAAATCACTCCTGGTGGGGCTCAAGGGACCATCTGGGGTGCTGGGGATTGGACCCAGGTTGGCCACATGCAAGGCAAGAGCCCTAGTGCCCTGCCCACCGTAGCCTCTCCAGTCCCAAACCTGGCCTGTTAAACAGGGCAAAGACGGGTGCAGACACCCCCCCCCTCAATAGAGCTGCTGCTCTCTTGGGCCAGGCAGATGGGGGGGGGGGGGCCGGGGGCACTGCCTCCCCCACTAGAGGGGCTGGTGAGGAGAACAGACGGGCCCAGGTGATGCACCGTAAGACACTTGCCCGCCCAGTTCCACCAGGAGAAACGCAAACAATTTGCGTCACACACTCACCCAGGCTCAAGCCGCCCCAAACCGGAAACCAGCCTCTGTCAAAGCCCAATCCCGAACCCAAGCCCACCCTCAGGCGGCGAGGAATCGACACAGCCGTGGGCCACGGCAGCCCTGGAGGACAGGAACAGGCCCCAGGACCCCCGAGTCCCCTTTGGAGGATGCGGGGCGCAGGGAGCGCGAGGCCTCGGGGGGGGGTGCGGTGGGTGCTGGCCGGCTGGGGGGGGGCCCACCTGGACGAAGCTGTGGCTGCCCTCCTGGCCCAGCAGCGTGGCACTGTCCCGCCACTGCAGGTAGCGCGCCTGGTGCTCCTCGATGTCCTGGGACAGGCTGACGTGTGGCTTCAGGGCTGGCTCCGGGCGTGGGGAGCGTGGCAGGGCGAGGGTGGCCAGCCCCTCTTCCTCCAGGAACTCTTCCTGCGAGATGGGCAGCCCGAACTGCTGGCTCAGGAGCCTGACCATGGCCGCGGACGGCAGCAGGTCCCTGGTGACCACCTCCCTGAGCCTGGTGTTCTGGTTGCAGATGTCGTAGATCCTGCGGCAGGCAGAAGCAGCCGCCCGCCGTGAGGATCGGGCAGCGGTGCCCAGCCGCCCTGGGTGTCCGGAGGGAGATGCCCGAGCCCCCCGCGGGAGAAAAGGGCCCCCCATCTCCCAGCAAAGCGTCTGCCCCTGGGGTCTGCCTTGCTCCACTCCGCAGCCCAGCTCAGACCCCGCAGAATGGCACCAACAAGCCACCCGAGCCTCCCACCCCAGCCGAGAGCTACCCACTAGGCCACACTGCAGCCCTGGGACCCCCGGGACCCCCTCCCTCTATTTGACCAGGGCTGCGCTGGGGGAGGGGGGTCGCAGCCCTGCCTGCGCCTGATCTCTCTGCCCTTTCCCCGCTGTAAGGAGGCCTGCCTGGAGGAAGCCACTGTCCTCCCTCTGCCTCTCCCAACACCACAGTACACTCACATGGCACGCAGATACTGGACACACGCACGCGCACCTCCCAGCTGGTTCTGGAACTTCCCGCAGCAGGGGAAGTGCCATCGCCCTACCAGGCACACCCCTCCCCTTGTGCCCCCTCCGCTGGGTCACGCGGCCAGACTGAAAGACAGCGGCCTGTCCCCAGGGGTAGTGGCCGCTCTCGGGCTGCCAACCCCCCAGTCACCCGCACTCAAGCCTCTCAGCCATACTGACGTGTGGGCCCAGTACAAGAATTCAGGGAGGAGCGCAGGCCTGGCCTGGAGGCCCCGAGTTCAAAACCCAGCACCCTGGATGCCCCAAACAGCCCAGTGCCCCCCCTCCCCAGCACCCACACAGGGCCTGAGCACTGAACGGTCCCACCACACACTGCAGGGAAAGGTCTCCGGACACTGCTATCTAAAGGCGCAGTTTGGCCTCCAGTGGGCAGCAGGGGGCAGGGGCCGTGGGGTGACCGAGCACCCACCAGGGCAGCAGGGTCTCTTCCCTGAGCCTCTGGGCCCCAGCCCTGGACTGAGAGATGCAGTTCTTGGAGGGAGGTTTGAGGAAAGGGAGGGAGCCATGAGGCTGGCAGATGGGGGAGCACCACCCCCTGGACCCCCCTGCTGTATCTGGCAACTTGCCCCCCAGGCTGTGGGGTTACCCTAGAGTGTGTCCCCAAGAATAGGTGGGTCCCAGTCATGCAGCTGGTGTGATGGAGCTGTCACTGGGCCTTTCAGAAAAGTCTTGGTAGACTCGGGTTGGGGGTCCCTCAGCTGAACCCCAGGCGTGGCTCAACTTCCTCGAGCAGAAAAAGTCACCCCCAGCAGTGTCCCTGGCTACCCATGTGGTTAGCCAAGAGGTGAGTGGAAATGAGGGGCCAAAGGAGCCTAAGGCGTGGGGTCAGGGGCCACAAGGGCAGGAGCTCCTGTATGCATCCACCCTGACGTGGAGGGTCAGGGGCCATGAGGGCATGAGGCACCTGCACGTGTCCACCCCGCCATGGGCCATGAGCCCATGCTGAGAGGGTGGGACCACAGGAACGCCCTCCCTTCCTTACCCCCAACTGCTGACCCTTGTTCCTGGACGTGCACGGACGGGACCCGTTTAATATGGGCGCCGTGTAATATGCAACCCACGTTGCCGATCCCACGAGCCCAGATCACTGGGGCTCCCCGCCCCCGTCTGCCACCTGGCGCACCTGGTCAGGGCCTGGAAGACAGGCTTCGGCACCGTGTCCCGCAGGTACAGCTCCGGGCGCCGCATCAGCTCTTCCAGGGGCTGACAGAGGTGCACGTGGTACACGACGCTGTCCAGGTCCCCGTACAGGCGGTGGCGGAAGAGCAGCTGGGAGTTGTACAGCACCTTGTAGGGCGGGCACGGCCTGTGCTCCACAAAGGGGATCCTGCAACGAGGCAGGGCGCCGGGCACGCTCGCACACTCCACGCGAGCCCCGGGCCCCGGGGCCTCACACCCTGCCTGGACGGGGCCCTCTGCGGCGTGTAAAAAGCCTCCAGAGACACAGACCCTCAAATCCCGTTCAACAACAGCCTCTGGGTAACAAAACTGCGGAACTGGAAACCCGGTTAGTGGCAGCTGGGAGGCCTGGGGTGAATTTTTTTTTCTTTTTTCTTTGCTTTTTGGGTCACACCTGGCGATGCACAGGGGTTACTCCTGGCTTGTGCACTCAGGAATTACTCCTGGCAGTGCTCAGGGGACCATATGGGATGCTGGGAATCAAACCCGGGTTGGCCGCGTGCAAGGCAAACGCCCTCCCCGCTGTGCTATCACTCCAACCACCCTGGGGTGATTTAATGAGGGTAGGAGTGCAGACAGATTTCTTTTTTCTCTTTTTGGCTTTGGGCTGGAGTGATAGCACAGCAGTAGGGCGTTTGCCTTGCGCACAGGAGGCCTGGACGAGCCGGGTTCGATTCCTCTGTCCCTCTTGGAGAGCCCGCAAGCTACCGAGAGTATCTCGCCCGCACGGCAAAGCCTGGCAAGCTCCCCATGACATATTCAATATGCCAAACTCAGTAACAACAAGTCTCACAATGGAGACGTTACTGGGCCCACTCGAGTAAATCAATGAACAATGGGAGGACAGTGCTACGGTGGTTTTGGTGCTATACCTGGTGGTGCTCAGGGCTCTGCACTGGGTCGAGAGAGCTTACTCCTACTGGACTGGGGGACCACATGGTGTGCTGGGGACTGAACCCAGGTCTGCCGTATGCAGGGCAGGTGCCCTCCCTACTGTGCTACCGCTCCAGCCCGAGATGGGCTCATTTTCATCATGGGGCTGGGAGGGTATGTATCTGGCTGCACTTACCCTGCAACAATACAGCACACACACACACCCTAGAGCCCCACCCACGTGTCCTGGCTCAGAGCTAAACTCGGCCATGGTTGGCGGGAGAAGGGTGCTGGAGCCGGCTGAGTCTCTGATATGCAAGTCATACGGCACCCTTAGTTACGACTGGGCCACTCACAGCTAGATCAGTGGGCAGTGGCACAGCACAGTACTACACAGCGTTCAGTACTTGCACAGAGCTCAGTCCTTACACAGCACTAAGTACTTACACAATGTTCAGTACACAGAGCTCAGTACTTGCACAGTGCTCAGTACTTGTGCAGAGCTCAGTACTGCATAGCATTCAGCACTGCACAGCATTCAGTACTTGTACTGCGCTCAGTAGTTGCACAGTGCCCAGTACTTTCACAGCGCTCAGTACTGCATAGCATTCAGTACTTGCACAGCGCTCAGTACTTACACAGAATTCAGTAGTTGCACTGCGCTCAGTAGTTGCACAGTGCTCAGTACTTGCACAGAGCTCAGTCCTTACACAGCACTAAGTACACAGTGTTCAGTACTTCCAGAGCATTCAGTACTTGCACTGCACTCAGTAGTTGTGCAGTACTCAATACTTCCACAGAGCTCAGTACTTGCACAGTGCTCAGGACTTGTGCAGTGCTCAGCTGAATGGCACCCCATCCTTGAGCCCTCAGAGGAACGGCTAGCACAACATATGTACATACATGTACATATATATAGTATGTACGTGGTATGCAGAAGTTCAACTGATATTTGCATCAGCTTTTGTGTGAAAAAGCTTCATTAAACAACCTTCCCCCTCCCCCCAGTGCCAGGAATAAAAGCCAGGCATGCCAGACACGTGCTTATCACTTTGCACATTCCCAGCCCGAAATTAAAATATAGTTTTAAATGATCTTACTAGCTGGGGCTGGAGCGATAGCACAGCGGGTAGGGCGTTTGCCTTGCACGCAGCCAACATGGCCGACACAGGTTCGATTCCCAGCATCCCATATGGTCCCCCGAGCACCACCAGGGGTAATTCCTGAGTGCATGAGCCAGGAGTAACCCCTGAGCATCGCCGGGTGTGACCCAAAAAGCAAAAATAAAATAAAATAAATGATCTTACTAGCTTACAAATTGCTTAATTACTGACATGACCTAACACTTGTTGCAATCTCTCTAAAGCTATTTCCTCGAAATCATGCTCTAACTTTACCCCACAAATTAAGCTATTCTATTACTGTTATTGATTGTTCTGTCATTATTGTTCTGTTCCAAATTAATTTCTAGGAGCCAGAGAGACAGTAGAGTTGGCAAGGAGCTTGCCTCAACCGCAGCTGACCCCCAAGCTGGGCATAATTCCTGACACCCTGAGGCCTGTCAGGAGTGAGCCCTGAGCACAGAGCCAGGAGTCAGCCCTGAGGACAGAGCCGGAAGTGAACACAGAGCCAGGAGCAAAGGCCCTGATAACCATCAGGTATGGTCCAAACCACCCCCTCAAAATTCTCCCTAAATTCCATTAGACTCATGGCTTTTTACAGTATTCCTTCATTTTAACTAGACTGCGGAGAGGAGGCCAGTGGTCTTGCATTATTCCTACTGGCGGATCAGCATTTTACTGATCTTTATCTTTCTTTATCTCCAAGGTCGCCATGCCGCGACAGCCCCCAGAGTTCCTGACACCCCAGACCCCAAGTCGCTGCACTGGAGTGACTCCCGGGACCCACCACGCTCCGGGACAGGGACAGAGGCGGGGGCGAGTCAGGCCTGGGGTGTGGAGCGGGTCCGGGCCGGGACAGTTGGGGCAGGAAGCAGCTTCCTCCGGAGGGCCTCTGGGCCTGGACACCGCTCCCCGGGGTCTGGGCTCGCCCCGCCCCAGGCCTCCCCTGCCCGGGGAGCCACGCGGCCCTACCGGCTCTGGTAGTTCTCCCACAGGCGCTTCAAACCCTGGCAGGACAGGCCCTCCAGGATGAGCAGGTGGCACTGCCCGTCCAGCAGGTGGAAGCCGGTGATCACGTCCAGGTCCTGCCGGTCCTTGATGTTCGTGCGCACCTTGATGGCCGGCAGGATCTGCGAGATGTTGCACAGCGGGTAGGTGTCCACGTGGAGGGCCCTGGCGTTGATGACCGTGATGTCGTGCAGCAGCGGCCGCAGAAGCAGATGCTGCTTGGACCCGAACACGAAGATGATGCGGCCAAACGGGGGTCCCGTGGGGTCCGGCTCGGGGGTCTCGGGCCCGGTCCACGGCAGGGGGACCTCGATGTCCACCCGCAGCTTGAGCTGGGAGTGGGCCTCCAGGTAGTTGCCGGCGGGCAGGGGCTGGAAGCTGTCCAGGGCCTGCGGCCGCCTCCTGTGCAGGCCGGGGTTGGTGGGCGGCGGCTCGCAGCGGAGGATGGGGACGGACAGGTTCAGGTACTTGCGGCCCAGGAGCAGGTCGGCGAAGCTGACCCGGGCCACCCCGTAAGGGTTCCACGTCTTGCTCTGTGACTCGAAGGGGTTAAACTCGGGGTCTCGGGGAGAGACGAAGGCGTGGAGGTTTGGGAAGGTGTCCAGGGGCTCCTCGCCGAACAGAGCGGGCCTCTGGCTAGTGTTCTCGGTCCTGAGGTCCCGGTCGTGCACTTCTATCACCAAGGGGGGACCGTCCAGGAGCCCCCGCAGGTCCCCGGGGTGCATGTCCCCCAGGAAGATGACGTTGACGTCCTGGAAGTAGATGCGGGTGCTGTGAGGGTACCCCTCGGTCACGTGCGCTGGCATGCCGGGAAACTGGTATTTGCAGTAGACGGGCGCGCACTGACTCTAGGAGAGAATGAGGAGGCCAGTCATGGCCACTGACACGCAGCCCCCCATGGGCCCTGTGGCCCGACCGCTGCCCCCGGAACACCCCTGGGAGCACCAGGGGCTCTGTGACTGCCCCCAGGTCCTCCCTGCAAGGGGGCGTGACCTGGACACGGGCCCAGTGCCCCCCCCACACCTGCTGGTCTGGTTTCGAGCTGACCCATACACACCCCGGAAGGAAGAGCCCAGATGCCCAAACAACTGGAAGTCCGAGCCAAGGCGATGGGGAATAAAACACCACGTGGAAATTTGGGAAACGGAAACCACAGTGACCGAAATTGGACCATTTGCTGGTGAAGGGGCCGGAGGGATGGGAACAGATGAAGGTGTTGGCCTTGCTTGATGCCCACCCAAGTTCTGTCCCTGGGCACCACATTGTCCACTGAGAATCTCCTGGTACAGCTCTGGACACTGCAGGCCCCAGCAGCCTCCTCTAGCCTTGGAACCACCCTCCCTGCTGGCCCACCAGCAGGAACCTGAGCACTGTTCGGGAGACAGAAAAAATAACAATGTAGCACTTTAGCACTGTCCTCCCATTGCTCATTGATTTGCTCGAGCTGGCGCCAGTAACGTCTCCATTGTAAGACTTGTTACTGTTTTTGGCAAATCGAATACACCACAGGGAGCTTGCCATGCTCTGCCATGCGGGCGGGATACTCTCGGTAGCTTGCCGGGCTCTCCAAGATGGGCGGAGGAATCGAACCTGGGTTGGTCACATGCAAGGCAAATACCCTACCCGAGGAAAAAAATAACCCCGCAAAATCCCATAACTGCCACTATGTCAGCTCACCCACCCACCCCGCTCTGCAGACTCTAAAGCTCCCAGGAGATGCAAACCAGGCTGCTAAAATTCACGGGCACATGGGTCTCCTGGTTGAGAACTTGGGGCGCCCTTGGGAGTGTGGGGGGTGAGTCCCTGCCCTGCCAGACCCCCAGCAGCTGCACCCACACCCCACAGTGGACACAGCACCAACAGCCCAGCTCCACACTTTCAGCTGCAGACATGCAAACCGCCAAGACCCAGGGCACAGGCTTCAGACTGAGAACTTTGGGGTCCCTCGGAGGAGGGGCGGGGGGAGGCACGAAAGCCAGATCTACACCCCACGCCTGCTCCCGTATCAGCTCTACAGATCCTGGGGTTTCCAGACCGAGGGGCCGCACACCCAAATTCCACACGACTGACGGCCCAGGAGGTTTTTTGAGGGTGGGGAGCACATCCGGCCACGCTCAGGGCTGACTCCTGGTTCTGCACTCAGGGATTGCTCTTGGCAGGGTTGCAGGACCATATGGGGTGCCAGGGACCGTACTGGGGTCAGCTATGGATGCAAGGCAAGCACCTTAACTCTCTGGCCAAAAAGGGCTCCTGACATGGGCTTGACGTTCCAAAGAACAATTAGAAAGGAATGAAGAGTCTGATGAAGCAGGAATGATCACTAACAAGACTGAAGAAAAAGAACTTTGGAGGGCTGGAGAGCCAGGACAGTGGGTAGAGCACTTGCCTTGCATGTGGCCAATCCGGGTTCAATCCTCGGCATCCCTGTATTGTCCCCCACGCAGCACCAGGAGTGATTCCTGAGTGCAGAGCCAGGAGGAAGCCCTGAGCATTGCTGGGTGTGGCCAAGAAAATGAAAGAAAAGAAAAGGAAAGGAAAGGAAAGGAAAGGAAGGAAGGAAGGAAGGAAGGAAGAAAGAAAGAAAGAAAGAAAGAAGAGAGGAAGGGAGGGAGGGAAGGAAGGGAGGGAGGGAGGGAAGGAGGGAGGGAGGGAAGGAAGGGAGGGAGGGAGGGTAGGAGGGAGAGAAGGAAGGAGGGAAGGATGGAGGGAGGGAAGGAAGGAGGGAGGGAGGGAGGAAGGAAGGAAGGAAGGAAGAAAGGAAGGAAGGAAGGGCAGGGAGGAAGGGAGAGAAGGAAGGAGGGAAGGATGGAGGGAGAGAGGGAAGGAGAAAGGAGGGAAGGAGGGAGGGAGGGAGGAAGGAAAAAAGGAAGGAAGCAAGTAGGGAGAGAGGAAGGAAGGAAGGAAGGAAGGAAGGAAGGAAGGAAGGAAGGAAGGAAGGAATCTTCAGTCTGTCCAGAGCAGGAGAGATAAAGACCACCTCCAGGGCTGGCCAACTGCCAGCAATTGAAACCCATCATGGACACAGCTGGGGCCACTCTTTCGGTTCTGGAAGGACCTTTTCCCGGGAAGCAAGGTCTGGGGGGAGAATGAAAAAAACAGCAGCATGTCACGGTGCTGGAGCTGTGATCACGAGACCAGCGTGCGGGGGCAGACCCGGGGCTGCACAGGGCGGGGCTGGCATCCCCGGGTCCGGGGCAGGCGAGCCGACTCGGGCAGGGTTTGGTGGCACCGAGCAAGCGGCGGAGGGCAGTCGGCATCGACCTGTGCGAGCTGACGGGCTGTGGGGTCTCCACGCAGACCCTCCCGCGCCCTGCTCCCCCAGGGGCCAGCTTCCTTTCCTAGAGCATGCGCCAGCTCATCCTCCCGGACTGTCGGGAAACCAAGTCTCCGTCTGCCGGGGCTGGAGAACAAACAAGCCGGCGGCGTGGAAGGAAGCGGTCTGCAAAGGAGGAGCTTTGCGTCCCTGTGGTGGCTGCAGTGTGTCCGGCTGGAGCGGGTGTGTCCCCAGCCCCGGGAACGCAGGGCATGCGCTGGGCTCTCAGCCAAGCCCACTGTGACCTTTCCTGTACCAGAGAAGACGACTAGCAAGTCCTTGACCGGGTGTTCTTCATTTTGGGGGGTCGGAAGGAGAGAATTTATGGACCACATCCCCCATGCTCAGGGCTGACTCCCGGCTCTGTGCTCAGGGTTCACTCCTGGCTCTGTGCTCAGAACTCACTCTTAGTTCTGTGCTCAGGGCTCACTCCTGGTTCTGTGCTCAGGGATCACTCCGGGTTCTGTGATCAGGACTCACTCCTGCCTCTGTGCTCACTCCCGGCTCTGTGCTCAGGGCTCACTCCTGGCTCTGTGCTCACTCCAGGATCTGTGCTCAGGGCTCACTCCTGCTTCTGTGCTCACTCCTGGCTCTGTGCTCAGGGATCACTCCGGGTTCTGTGCTCAGGACTCACTCCTGCCTCTGTGCTCACTCCCGGTTCTGTGCTCAGGGCTCACTCCTGGCTCTGTGCTCACTCCAGGATCTGTGCTCAGGGCTCACTCCTGCTTCTGTGCTCATTCCTGGCTCTGTGCTCAGGGCTCACTCCTGGTTCTGTGCTCAGGAATCACTCCCAGCTCTGTGCTCAGGACTCACTCCTGGCTCTGTGCTCACTCCAGGGTCTGTGCTCAGGGATCACTCCTGCTTCTGTGCTCACTCCTGGCTCTGTGCTCAGGGCTCACTCCTGGTTCTGTGCTCAGGAATCACTCCCAGCTCTGTGCTCAGGACTCACTCCTGGCTCTGTGCTCAGGGCTCTCTCCTGGCTCTGTGCTCACTCCAGGGTCTGTGCTCAGGGCTCACTCCTGGCTCTGTGCTCAGGGATCACTCCTGCTTCTGTGCCCAGGGCTCACTCCCGGCTCTGTGTTCAGGGCTGACTCTTGGCTCTGTGCTCAGGGCTCACTCCCGGCTTTGTGCTCAGGGCTCACTTCTGACAGGGCTTGGAGGAGCTTATATGAGACACAGGAAATCAAAGTGGGGTCAACCATGTGTAAGTGGAGCCAACCTTTCATGCTGGGAAGACTCAGCAGAGGGAGACAGGGACCTGAGCCCCCGGGATGGGGTCGTGGGTGTTGAGGCAACAACTCCCTAGGCTGAAAATCAGTGCTCAGCCTGGGGGTTCACAAAGAAGGGGCATTTAGGAGGGTGGGGGCGCTACAGCTGTAACGAGGAATTCCTTGGGCTCCATGGGAAGGGAGACTCGCCACCCTCTGCCCTGGAGAGACCCTGGGGGTCCTGAACCCGGAAACCTCAGCTCCCCTTGCTGGCAGGGCTAGACCCTGGTGTGGACCCACTCCCCTGGTGGGAGAAGTTGGAGCATGACCAGCCCCTGGCTGTGACAGGCAGGACCCGGGGGGCAGTGGGCACACCTCCAGCTTCCAGAGCGGCACCGGCGATGAAGGCAGGCAGCTCACGCGGTCGATCTTGATGGTCATCGGGTTCAGCTCCTGCCGCTGCTGTTCGTTCATGATGGGCTCGTCGGTTTTCAAAGTCAGAAAGCAGTCTATGATGTTGGGGGACCGCCCGTGTCCCCGACTCAGTACCATCTTCCATCCTGGGGGAGGACAGAGGACGCGGGCACTGCCTCAGCACCAAGACAGGCGGAGATTGAGAGGGGCCGGGCCCACCTCGACTAACGGGGAGCACAGCTACGCATCACCCCGTCCCTTTCGCCAGCAAAGGTCCCATGACTGTCCGCTTCTTTTTTTGGTTGTTTGCCTTTTCTGGTCACACCCGGCGATGCTCAGGGGTTACTCCTGGCTCATGCACTCAGGAATTACTCCTGGTGGTGCTCAGGGGACCATATGGGATGTCGGGGATCGTACCCAGGTTGGCCATGTGCACAGTAAATGCCCTCTCTGCTGGACTATCGCTTTGCAACCTCTAGCGTTGGTGTGAGCCGAGAGATCCAGGTGCATTTCTCAGGCACCTCTAAGCCCTGTCACTTGCCCTCGGAGAGAGGTCGCCGGGGACAGGGCAGGGGGCAGGGTGTGAACTGGGGCCTCTCCAGGGCAGTCCTCATGCTCCCTAGTCCTGAGGACTTCTCAGGATGACCCTGCGTGGCTGCCCCAGTGATGGGGAATGCGGGGTGCAGCGAAGGCAGCGGTCACCTCAGGTGGGACCAACACCCCAGACCTGTCCCCGCCTCCAGGCGATGCTTTGGAGGTAGAGGGATGTGCTGAACCCAGGAACTTCCTAGAATCTTACTGGGTTACTGGCCAACCAGGGCTCCCCGCCAAGGTAAACCAAGTCTGTGGTCCAGTTTGAAATTGAAGATGAAGATCAAAGCCGTTGGTCTGGCTTGGGGGCATCTTCATCTCTTCTGTTGTTTTTATTGTTGGGGTGGTACACTGGGCCTCACCCAGTGGTGCTCAGGGCTGGTTCCTGGCTCTGTGCTCAGGCAGAGACTCAGGTATGAGGTGCTGGAGATTGAGCAGGGCTTGGCCTGTGCAAGGCAGGCACCCTAACCCCTGTACTCTCTCTCTGGTCATCATCTTTTTCTCTCTCTTTCTTCTTTTTTATTTTTGGAGGGGGGGGCAAGAGGGAGTTCTGGGAGGTTCTGTGAGATTTAACCCAGGTCACCTGCCTGCAAACCATGCACTGCAATGCACTGAGCCTCCCTGGCCCCAGAATAATCTTCCTCAGTTACTGCCCTATAGCAAAGACAGACCCACAGCTGCCTCGAGTCCAGGCCACGCTCGGCTGGTCACTGTGAACCGTGGCATTGGTCTAAGGGACGAGATTTACTGCCACTCCCTGCTGGAGTCCTGTGGTCACCTACCAGGCCTTGCACATGCTGTGGAAGATGCAGTTATCCCTGCACTCAGCTGCCTTGGGGGGCCCACCGTGTACAAGGTTCCACAGTAGCCCAAGTGGGTGCCAGCCCTGCCCTCTGACTGGGGACGGCCTCCCCCCTTGGACTGGATTCAGCCTGCAGTCCACAGCTGGCACGGGACTGGGCAGGTCTCCAAGGACAGCTCAGACAGGGTTGCCCACCCTCCTGGCTTCACTCCACAGGAATCAGTCATGCCAGGCAGAACCAGGCTTGGGGCTTCTCCCCTCATGGCGAGACGAAGGTGCAAAACCACCTCTAGCCCCAAGTGAGGCGGCTGACGGGACGCTGACACAGAGGGGCCCTGGCTCCCATGGGGCTCCAGGCCACGGTAGCACTTTGCGGAGACAGAGGCCCTGGCACAGCGGAAAAACTCACAGGACCACAGAAGGACCCACTTGAAGGGAAGCTGATTCTCAAAAAGCACTTACAAGTGCAAACCAAAGAGTGAACAGCATTTCCTGACAATGGACCAACAGCAACCAAGAGCTGGCCGAGTCCGTGATTCTTCCGGCATCTGCAGAATTCAACAGTGACTGCCCCCCAAATCCCTGCCGCCCCTGACGTCTATTTCTACTCCCAATGTAAGCCTGCGGGTCTGCACGATCACCACTAGAGGGCGTGCATTCAGGCTAATGCCTCCCCCGCCATCCAAAATTCAGGAAAAGTTAGAAGTTATTTTCTCTGAATAAAAAGAGCCTTTCCCTCCATATTACCCTTCTTAAAACTAATACACATGTTTGTTTGTTTGTTTGTTTTTGCAAAAACATGTTCTGAGGTCTCTATTTCCAAATACATGGACATAATAAACATTTACTTCTGATCGAACTCTAGAAACACAAGTTTATATATTTATAAAGCATTGTAGCACTGTCCTCCTGTTGTGCATCGATTTGCTCGAGCGGGTCCAGTAACGCTTCCATTGTGAGACTTAGTTGTTACTGTGTTTGGCATATTGAATTCATCACAGGATAGCTTGCCAGGCTCTGCCGTGCGGGCGAGATACTCTCGGTAGCTTGCCGGGCTCTCCGAGAGGGGCGGAGGACTTGAACTCGGGTCGTCCAGGTTGGCCGCATGCAAGACAAACTCCCTACCCGCTGTGCTATTGCTCAAAAAAAAAAAGAAAAAAAAGGTGGGTTTTACAAAGAAAATAATCACACCTCTGTCGCTGATCGTGTGACCCCAAGTAAGTTACTTGACTTCTCTGAATTTTGGCTCCTCCATGGAAAACAAAATAGTGACATCACTTACCAGCCCTAAAACCCGCGCCAGTTTATGAGGAGGTCTGGAGTGTATCACAAAAAGGACACGACAGGGGCTGGAGGAATAGCACAGTGGGGAGGGCGCTTGCCTTGCACGCAGCCGACCCGGGTTCGATTCCCAGCTTCCCATATGGTCCCCTGAGCACCAGCAGGAGTGATTCCTGAGTGCAGAACCAGGAGTAAGCCCGAGCACCATTTGGTGTGGTCCCAAACAGACAAACACAAAGGCAACCTTCGTACCCTTCGGAAGTAGAGCCCTGCCCACAGAGGGCACACACACATGCTTGGCCTGATTCCCTCTGACACCTTACATATCCCTCCCCAAGCCAGGACAGCAGAAAGAGGCGGTCTGTGGCGGTCACTTAAGGATGCTCAGCCACACAGGGGTAGAGGCCATACCTGCGAGCAGCGGCGTGAGCGACAGCTGGATGGAGAAGACGTCCGGAGTAAATGAGGCCATCATCAGCCTGATCTCGCTCTCGTTGTCCTTGGACATTTTCTTCACTCTCTTCGACAGTTTCCGTTTTGTCACGGAATCTCCTTGTTTGACTGTGAAACCAAAGGAAGGCCATGAGCACTGCAAGGAGCCCACCTCTGCACCACCTTGTGGACAGGTAGGCATGCCGTGGAGATTCCGGAAGGTTCTGGAAGGTTCTGGAAGTTTCTGGGGTTGTTCTCTGTGCTCTGTTCCTTTCCCAGCATTTGTCAGAGGGGTCTCCATGTGGATACATCAATGTAGGAAGAAAGTAGGGGTCCTTCAGCTCCCCACCTGGGGCTCCCTCAGAACTGGGACTGAAGGAATACGGATGCAGATAGGACAGCATGACAGCTCTGGATGCCGTGGAGGGCCGAGGCTGAGCTTCGGAACTGCGTCACGGATGTGGGAGCACCTCAGCCACACGGAGCCGCAGCCCGCCCCCATCAGGCACACAGCACCTGCCTCCAACAGCCCAGGCGAGAGAAAGGGAGCAACAGCTGTGCCCGCCAGCTCCACAGTGAGCTCTCTGAAGAGCATGGGAGGTCAGGGCCAACGACGAGAGCCAGGAACTGCGGCTTCTGTGATCGAAACAGATGAGAAAGCCCAGGCGCTGACACACACGCACATGCACGAATGCACACACACACAGAGACGCTCACTCACATGCACACACATATACACACACATGCGCACACACATACTCACACATGGGTGCTCACTCATAACACACACACATATGGGCATTCACTCACACATACACACATACACACACAAGGGTTCTCACTCACACACAAATGCACACACACAGACCTACACAGACAAACATGGGCGCTCACTCACATATACACACGCACATACACACAAACACAAACATGGGTGCTCGCTCACATAGATACATCCACACACACACAAATACATGTGTGCTCACTCACACACGCACACACACAGGCACTCATTCACACACACATGCACACACATACACACAAACACAAACATGGATGTTCACTCTCATAGACACACACATGTGCGCTCACTCACACACATGCACACACGCAGGCATTCACTCACACACACAGGCACTGTGGGCTGGAGCGATAGCACAGCGGTAGGGCGTTCACCTTACAAGCGGCCAACATGGCCGACCCGAGTTCGATTCCTCCGCCCCTCTCGGAGAGCCCGGCAAGCTACCGAGAGTATTCGATATGCCAGACACAGTAACAACAAAGTCTCCACTGGAGACGTTACTGGGCCCGCTCGAGCAAATCGACGATCAACGAACGGGAGGGCCTTTACCTTTACCTTTACACAGGCACTCACACATACACATGGGCTCTCACTCACACACACACACACACACACACACACACATGGGTGCTCACACACACACGGGCGCTCACTCACACACAAATATGGACTCACACACACATGCACACACACACACATGTGCACAC